TCATTGAAATGCGATGATTAGTACTTGAGATACAGTGGAAAAGCTGAAAATTAACTAATTATGCAAATTAGGTGATTAATATGCACAAATATTTATCGAAAACAATCAATCTCTGCATAGTCCTTTGAGTATGTAAGTACCAAGTTTCATTGAAATGTAATGCTAACTACTTATATCAAATGCTGAAAATTAATTAATTATGCAAATTAGGTAATTAATATGTACTGATATTACCATAAAAACTATCAGGTCTGTGCAGTGTCGTATGACATCTATGTACCAAGTTTCATTGAAATGTGATGATTAGTACTTGAGATATCAGTGGAAAAACCGAAAATTGACTAATCATTATGCAAATTAGGTAATTAGTATCCACGGATTATTACCAAAAACTAATCAAAACCTAGCATTAGTTCAGAGCATCTATGTACCAAGTTTCATCAAAATCCAATGAGTGGTTGTTTAGATATCAGTGGAACAGTCATGGAACCACTAAAAAATAGCTAATTATCATGCAAATTAGGTAATTAATATGCACGGATTTTTACCAAAAATTAATCAAATCTGCGCATATGTTCAGAGCATCTATGTACCAAGTTTCATCAAAATCCAATGAGTGGTTCTTTAGATATCAGTGGAACAGTCATAGAACAGCTAAAAATTAGCTAATTATCATGCAAATTAGGTAATTAACGAGCATGGATTTTTACCAAAACCTAATCAAATCTGCGCATTGGCCCAGAGCATCTATGCACCAAGTTTCTATTTTAGCCGGCAGGATTGATTGAAATGTCCGAAAAATGACGCCAAAATACACCTTAAAAGTCCCATTTTATTTTCTTAAATCCCATTTTATTTTTTAATCCAAGGGCAAATTTACGGCAGAATTTGGTCTCTCAAATAAGGGACACGTGAGCTTTGATTCTAACCGGATACATTGCACTGGGTCGGGGAGATAGTTTGCTAAACTTCCATGCATCTTTTGTCCAATGGGTACCTGTACTTCGAACATTCGCAAGTTTTTCTAGGTAGTGCGAGACAGCTTTGTCTTTTGACCTATTAGTTTTGTGCTGACCTCTTCTCCGCGTCTTGATGTTTTGTTTTGCTTGTCATAATACTGATTGATGACTTTGTTTAGATTTTGAGTTACAACTCGGCCACGACCTTTGCTTTTACCGTGAAACATGAGGAAGTTTACGTCAATTGACGGACATTGCATTTTTTAAAAACTAATGAA